AAAGCGAATGGAACCTCGTAGCTGTAAAAAACCTTAAACACCTTAAACCTTAAGCCCGATAAAGCTACAGCGTTCTCTGTCAAGGGTTCTATAAGGCTCCTATAAGGCTTCAAGAAAATCCGATGAGTTTCCATTTAGAGGGCTCCTATACTCCGAGAACCCCAAACCCACTGCGGCTTCTACGAAAATCCTAACCTCCTCAGGGAAACCTTTTACAGTCCTATCCGCGAGGCTAGAGCCAAGGTCCTACGTACATACCCCTATACCCCTAAGCGGCTTCTACCGACATCCTAAGCCCCTCCAGGGAAACCTCGTGGCTGTAAAGGGCTCCTATACCCTCTACATGAACATAAACGGCTTCTACTAAAGTCCCAAACCCCGTCCAGGGAAGCCTCGTAGCTGGTCTCCAGGATGTGCCGCTGCATCGGGTCCATTCCTTGAGCTTCCATGTTGGACCTCGCGGGGGTTTGGGGTTTAGGGGTTTAGTTTAGGATGAAGGGGTTTAGGGGCTGAGTTTGGGTTTAGGGGTTTAGTTTGGGGTTCAGGGGTGGGTTTAGTTTAGGGTTTACGGCATTTAGAGGATTAGGGTACCATGCCTTGAGCTTCCATGTTGGATCTCGCGGCTTCGGGGTTTGCGGTTTGCGGTCCAACGGGACTTAGTAAGTAGTTATACTATTCTACAGATGCAATAAGGGTTTGGGATCGAGCCGCCCGATAGCCGGGCCTGCATTGCCTAAAGCCCCAGTGCTGCTGCACGTCGCCGCCATAGGTCTGTACCCTCGGTCTCCTCCGTGGCATAGGAACCAGAGGAGAGTACGTTCCAAGGCGAGAACAAGAGTTCGCCTCAGTCGCTTGAAAGGCGACCCTCCCAGACTGAGGGACCTGGCACTTTTGGCGATACACCACTCACAGCCACGATACGTGGAGCTGTCAGATCGCATGGGCCGAGCCAAGAAAGGATGGCATTCCGAAGAGGACTGGTCCCACTCTGGTGGGCAGGAGCGATCCTGGTCGCTTTGGAAGGGTGCTTGGCCGAAGTCGCCAACGCCCAACAGTCGCCCTGTGAATCAGCTTCGCTACGACCAGGTGGACCCGGGCCGAGAGCATTGGGACTATCACCAGCCCAGGGACGAGCCGGCCGAGGAGCAGATACCTTCGGATCTTCCTGTGGCCTTCCGCGAAATTCAACGGGCCCTTACCCAAGCGCGGAAAGCGGATGCCAAGGTTCGCAAGCTTCGTTCGGATGTGACTTACCGGCAAGCCCAATTTACGAAATACGAGAACATGATGAAGCAGACGTTCGCCAAGAACCACCACCAGTACGAACAGGACATTGCCAAGATTCAAGAGGACATCAAGCAGGCATCCGAAGCTGGACAGGCCGCCACGAGAGACGTGCAGATGTTGGTGCTGTACGGTCAAACCAAAAGCAGTGCTCAGGAAACCAAACAGGCAGCTTCGGTGGACCGCCTTTGGGACGAACTACTGAGAAGCAATCCGGAAGGAGAGGCTCCGACGGAAGCCTCCTTCCTTTCAGAGGCTATGTCACTAGTCCGGAGTGCCCAGCCTGGCTTCTTACATCCACCGGCTGGTCTGCTGCCAGCACCAGCACGTGGCCAGAGAGATGTTACTCCGCCAAGGTCCAGAAGAGTGCCACCGATGTCGCCACAACAGGGCAAAGAGGATGTTGTCCTCAGGGACCCAGCGTCGTATGGATTTGCCAAGGAAGGCGGCCCATACCCTCTTTCACCGACGGCTCCCACTACAAGCACAGCCATGCCACCAGGACTGGAGGATTCTTCACAGGTCAGAAGCGGCAGCAGGCCCAAGAACAAGGTTCCTGGAGAGAGCGCTGTTACACGACAACCAGTCAAGAGGACAGTCCAAGGAGTTGCTCATACTTCCCTCCCGGGAGGGGCCCCATTGGCAGACAAGCTTGCTGCGCGTCGACAGGCCCTCGAAGCCGAGATGGGCCAGCCCGGACGTGCCCTACGTCCCTTTGGTCTGCCAGAGGGAGCTCCCAATGGTGCGCCTACCGAGCCAGAGGCCGATCGACTTCGCTATATGTACAATGGACAAAGTGTGGAAATCCGAGTCATGCACTCCGACGACGACGATCTCGACGAGCCGGACCCGGCGAAAGGCCAAGCGAGCAGGTCCTCTCCGGATGGAACGTAACAGCAGGTAGAGTTTGCTCGCGAGCGTCATCTGGTTTCAAACCCTGGCTTATCGGGCTAGAGGGAGCTAACGCACTCTCTGTCTGCAGTGGTGGCAGACAGGAGTTGCCACTTCCCTGTGGCCAACGGTCTGCCAGGAGGAGCTTCCAGAGGACTGCACGTAGAGCAAACTGGTCTCACACCATGCTGTGTATAAAGTTTTGGAGTCGCGTTGGCTTCCACTGTTGCCGACGATTTCAGCTTGAGACACATCCTTGGGCTTTGGATGGTGTTTCGGTTGAATCGCCAGTCTCCTCCGCCAAGGGAAAAGATTGCCTTTGTGCAATTCTTTCTCCTGCGGCCCTGCCTGGATCACAGCCTTCTGCACTGTGTTCCTACAATCTTCTCTTCAGAGGCGTGCCTAAAAGTCGGATCGGTGGCGCTGGGCCGACTACCCTCACTCATGATGGCCTCCCGCATGTGAGTTGGCCCTTCTCTTTCCTTTCCTTGTTAGGGTCTGTGACACAAGGCGCCATTTTTGGCTGCCGGTCACCCTCTTGCCTTTGCAGGTGTGTTTCTTGCCTTCGGCTTGATGGTCCTGGATTTTGTGGTTTTGCTTCGCCACAGAGGCCCTTTGCCGACCGCCCTCGTTCTTCAATTCCTTTTGGTCGTTGGGGTACAGCAGAGTGCAAAAGAGACGAATCGGTTGCTCAGGGTCGTCCACCTGCTTGCCCGGACCAGTCACCAATGACACACAGGTCTTCGGACCACACTGTGCCTGAATCTACCTGTGAACAGTGTCTGTTCGGGATTCTTGCTTGCCTTGGGGCTTGGCTTGTTCCCTTTGCCAGAGGCTTGCTCTTCTTGGGGTTTGGTTCCCTAGTCAGACTCCTCCTTCGTCCCTTCAGAGGTCATGCCCTCATCGGCTTGTTGGGTTTTCCATTTCATGGCATCAGTCCTGATGCCGCTGTCCCAATTGGCAAGATTGGCGGGGTCCCCAGGACTCGTAATACCCACTGCAACCCACGACCATCCGAGTTTGCGAGGCGGTCAGTTGCCCAACCTCGACGGAGCAGACCTAGCCTCTTCCAGAGATTCGGCATTGCCATTCTCAGTGCCCTTACTGTGCCTGCTCCCCTTGGATGCTCGGTTTTCGGTCATGCAGCCCTTGGTCTTACCCTACCACTTGGTGCCAATGCTATGGCACGGGCTGGCGAGTCCCCTGCCACAGGGAGCCAGGAGGTTGATGTTGCACCAGAGGACCTTGAAGCGTTTCAAGGTATCAGCGATGTTGCACTTTCTTGGCTCCATCCCGACGACATCCCTGCGCCAGACTCCAGACTGCACCTACAGGATCCTCCTTGGACCGACCTTGGCCCTTGTTGCCGAGCTGAAGATGAATGGTTGGGTGTGTATCTGTACACCCCACACTATGCTACGGTCTCGTGTGCCATCCAAGCCCGAGCAGAGGACGGCATTCATCCGATCCTCACTGCGCTTAAGGAACAATCTCCAGGAGTGCCTCAAGGCTTGTTCCATACGCTTATTCCGATGCGTCCACAGCGGCATCCTGGTTATTTGTCGGTACTTCGGGTCCCCAATTCCACGCGTTATCTTGGTCCCGACGGCACGGCATCTGTTGTCATTGACCTAACACGCGTTGGTGGCCGTTACTTTGCTTGCGTACTGCCACGCAGGCTTGATTTGCACAGGCTTGAAGAGTACATTCTCCCACTTACCAGTGTGTATGATGGCTCTACTTACTTCTTCGTTGGCCATTCCACCACTCCCTGGCCAGAGTATGCTGCAGTCGATTTACACGATGGAGATGTTATCACTGTAGCACGACATCCTGATGCCATCACTGAGTGTAACCGGGTTGAATCATTATTCAGACAAGGGGCATCTTGGGGGCCACTTCAGCATTTTCCCAGGGTTGAGTCACCTGAAGCCCTCTGCATTCTTTTTGATGATCAGCGCTATACATGCGAACCTCAGCCGGCGCACCGTACCATTGTTGAGTACACATCGGCTAAGTTAGGCATAAGCGCAGGAGATGCCATCATGTGTGCTTACCGCATTGGTAACCTCGATGTCCAAGGTGAACATTGTGAATACATTGTCGCGGCGCAAAGCATACGCCCTTACAATGCAAGGGTTCAAGATCGCAGCGCTTGTCGAGATGTCTTCGTCCTTTGTGACTTGCGTCCCTTAGGCCAGAAACCTTGTTTTCTGTACACCAATTTCCCAGCGCTGCATGTACCCACCCTAGCTGCGAGATTTGGTTTAGTTCTCCCTGCTGCAATACGACTAGGGGTTACTGGAGGTGAGAGGCGAGGTGACGATGTTCACTTTACGCCCAACTCTACGCTCCTCTTCTTTGCAGAGGGGTACCCAGAAACCAACTCCTCTAATGACTCACCCGATTCTGAGGATACCTCCCCTAGGGACAGTGCAGACCGAAACCCAGATGGGACCGCCCCTGCGCAACTTGACGCTCCACTTGCTGCTGCACTTGAGCACCCACCGCAAGATGTGTTGTCAGCATGGAATGATTGGCAGCGACAGGGCCCAGACCTTGACCCTAGCGGTTTCCCCGTTAGTGGACCTTTCTACACTCCGACCAACTTTGAACTTAGTGGGGATAGACATAGAGAAGATTCTACCCTTCCTCAAGGACATAGTTGGAACGCTGGAGCAAACCAACTCCCGGTGCCCACCACCAACGATGGTGGTGCCTGCAGGGGACAAGGTGAGGCACAGGCAGAAGTAGTAGTAGGAGCCGTAGGGACTGTCACAGAGAACTCTGTCTTTGAGTCCCCTGATGCCACTCCTGACGTTGACATGCACCCGGCCGCTTCCACGCCAGCCTTGACCCTCACATATGCAGTCGGGTACCTGCCTGAGATCATCATCCTTGCCCTTCCGGTTCCTTGTGGAGTTGCTCAAGCAATCGCCTGCCTTCAAGCTTGCAGGACTGACATGTTGGCTGACAGATTTCCTGAGCTTATTCCCGTCCATCCACAACCATGCTCAGACTGTGCAGCTTTCGTTGCCACACCCAATTGGGGAGACACAAGAGTTGTTGTGTTGCTCGATGGTCGTAGAATTGATGGTCGTGTCTTCTCTGCTGCTATCCATCACACCATCAACCGCGAGTCGTTGTTACTCGCAGCTGGTTATCCCCACTGTGCCCCGTTCCAAATTTTCGTTCACGGCTTGCTTACTCCCCTGCAACCGTACCAGTCCATTACGGTGACACAGGGTATGCTGATCATCTTTGCACCTAGTGACGTCGGTGCCCCAGCATACTCAGCGCTGCAGGACATGTTGCAGGATAGGGCGAACTGGAGCCTTGATGTTGCCATCCCTGGACCAGTTGCCTACCCTGGGAGTCATTTTCGGGTTTTGACAGACGGCATGCCGCTGACATTCAAAGTTGAGAGTGGGCGTAGGGCGTCTTTCAGAGAGGACCTCCAGAAGGCTCTCCGGACCAAATCCGAGTTTTTAGTAATCCTTCCATCTGCCCCTCAAATCCCTGAGCACTTTCATCTTGGAGTCCCGATTTCAGGTGTCCTTTTAGCCACTGAACACCTTCAGGCTATACCGTGCCCGCCAGCACGTGCACCGCAGTTAGGGGTTCCTTACTTCCTTGATGCCCGACCGATTATTCGGGATTTTCAGTGGGGTTTGGCGCCACAAGGGTTACTGCCAGTACAAAGCGCTGTCGACCGCTTTGCTCCCTTCTGTCCAGAGGGGTACAGCGTCTCTGTCAAAGGAGCCCCCATAAGGAACACCCCTGGGGGACCGTACTTTGCAGTCGACAGAGGTCATGTTCTGCTCATTGAGTTTGTCGAAGATTTGCTTGATGGTCCCCCAGGTGACGGTCCAGATGAAGATGGTCATGATGGGACAAGTGGCAGCACCCACGGTCGACGCAATCGCAACCAAAAGTACCAGGCAGCATCAGGGCAGGACGAACGTCATCGCAGCAGGTCACCCAGACCTGGGCCTGGCTCTGGCGTGCCACAGGACACGCCAGGAGCTGCAAGCAGTCTGCCCCCTGAGAGCGGTTTAGCAGAAATGCCTAGTCAGGATAGTAGAGTAGTCACGTGGTTTCCAGAGGCCGAACATCCGTTTGATGCCGGGCCGACTGATTCCACCCCTGTCCTCCTAACCGACTCTGAGGCATCCCATGAGCCACGAGATACTGGCAGTCGAGTAGCCATGTGGTCTTCAGACAGTGTGCTGGAGCCCACCCCTGTCCTCCTGCTAGATACACAGGCTCCCACCCGAGCTGCTCCTGACAGCGCTCATGCCACACACAACCAGGAGCCAAGAGGATCAGCATCTGATTTAGGTCCTGAGGTTGCCCAGGTTCCTGTTGCTGTACGCATTTTCATCGCTGACTTTCCTTTCGAGGAACTTCAGGTCCCATCCACAGATTGCGAAGACGTTGTGTCCACCATGCTGACCATAGACCGGCTGTGGCAGGGACCTTTGAGGGCCTTCTTCCCATTCCTTGAATATGTCCGGCCACAGACTGATTCACACCATTTACTGTGCATCGCTTGCCCACTCTGGCCTGTTGGCTCATGCACTGTGTGCTTTGACCTTGCTGCCATTGACGGACGGCAATTTGTTGCACAATTGCCGCCAAGGGTTGACAGGTATATTGTTTTTCAGTTTGCTGGGCTCTCCCCTGCAGCAGCCATCGACCTATACTGCCCAGGCAGCAGTATTCCGTTAGAGGACGGCGTTGAACAACTCGTTGGCCATGGTCACTGCTTCTGTTTTCGTCCAAGACGGGCCGGACCGCCACACCTCTACGACCTGCTAGAGGCTGGCAGGCACCTTGTTCCTCCCAGCATCCCTACAGACAATGAGCCTCCCGGGATGTACTATTGCCTTGTCACAGACCTTGCATACCGCCCCTTCCTTCTCATCCCCGAAAGGTCTGTCTTTTATAGGGCTGACATCGCTGCATCTCATGGGATGCGCTTGTGGTGCCTATCGGTTGACCCTGCAATTCCCCCTGTCCGGAATGCCTGCCCACAAGGCCGAACTTGTAGAGCTGTTGTCGCAGTCGGCGAACGGGATGCCCCAGCCGACGAGGGACTGAGAATCGGCTTTCTCGATTGCCGACTCCTTTTGCAAGGTTGGTTCCGACTTTTCACCGGCCATGATTGGCTTCCCTTAGAGCCTATCCGCAACAGCCTTATGCAGACAGCGCCTGAAGGTTGGACAGTCTCTTTTGTCGGGATTGAGCAGCACTGGGACTGGACCTGGTTCGCCCACGGCCAAGTCATTGTGGCATACTATGAAGCTGCACCTGTTGCAACGCCCCGGTCTGTCATGTCCGGTGATTCTACTGCCGTGCCAGATGATTATACTGAGGCCTCGCCTCCACCCTCTCCCACTCCTGGCAGCAGCCCCTCGCAACGGAGACCTACCCGAATCGGGTTGCCACATACCTCTGGAACCGAGCCCGGAGGTAGTAGTTCACTAGGTGGGGCGCCATCAGTTCTCCTTGCATGCAAAAGTAGGAGCGTAGAGTCTAGAGCGCAACTACGGACCAACACGGCACAGAATCTTCTAGTGCTAGGTCTAGTTTGGACTTTTGGGTGTCTTGACCGGCTTGCTAGGCTCCGAGGACCACTGCCATGCCTTCTCGCAGCCATTGTCTTCCTTAGCACCTTGCCTTGCCAGGTACAGGCAGTCCACCTGCCTTCCCATGTGCCGTCAAGGGACGCTCATGGCCTCGCTTCGCTCCCTGCACGCTCAGAAAGCAGAGAGGCCACAGGCCTACTACGATGCGCAGGTCGTCCCATCCCAACCCCCTGTCGAGTCAATGTCCATTGCATTGCAACACCACCCAGCACCATTGATGCTGCTCCTGACAGTACTGTTGACATTGAGCGTTGGGGGCCCTTGACAACCCTCCTTGAAGACAGCGTACGACAGCATCAAGGTCGTCCATTTCTGTTGTGTGCTGCTTTGCTTGACGTCCTTGCTGAGCACTCTACTCAGACCAGGCCAACCACTGACGCCCTTACTAAGGAACCAGCCGAAGGCAGCAGCAAACTTAGCTTGCAGAACGCGCTTGGACCCACGCAGTTCTATGACCTAACAGCTGCCTCCATGCCCTCCCCTTTTGACATCAATGAAGTCGTTGATGTATTGAGCGGCATATGGGTCCTCCCACCCACGCTCCCAGATGGCATACAACTCCATCCCGCGACTGCTCAGGTTTGGCCCAGCCTCGTGCCGGCTGATCTTTGCATTGCATCTGGTTTGTCTAAGATCGCCGTCTATACTGATGGTTCTTATGATGGGAGCAGCAGTTCTTGGGCTTTCGTTGCTATCGGGCATTCCGCAGCCGGCTCTGCCCTTCTTGCATGGGCCCGGGGTCAGGTAGCAGTTAACGATGAGGAGTACAGTATAGGCGCCACCGAGCACAGTGCTGTCAATGGCGAACGTACTGCTGTTTTCTGGGCCCTTGGGTGGCTTCTTTGCATTTCCCAGCAAACTCCAAAGGAGTTGTACAGTGACTGCCTTGTCGCTGCACGTCAGGCTAGTGGCCAATATGGTGCATCCTCACAGTGCGTTGCTGCCAATGCTTGCCGTTCTCTCTCCCAGGTCCACGAGGCTCTTGGTTGTGGAGATGCAGTGCTCATAAGCCATGTCAAAGGCCACGACGGCCACCCTTTCAATGAACTTGCTGATGTGCTGGCCGGAGCTCAGAATGTGCCTAAGTCCGCTCTCCCCCGTCACCTTCTTCACTTGTGTGAGTGGGCAAGAGGACGTTCCCTAGAATGGCTATGGCTCACTGTTGCTGCCATCAAGAGCCCTGGCACGTTTCCCCAGTATACTGGCCAAGCCCTCCAAGACCGGGTTGGGCATGCAGATCTTGGACCGCTCAGACTCTGTCCGAGCGCAGCCTTTGGTGCTGCCTTCGCCAAGACAGACGCCGGGCCTCCTGCTCAGGATTTTCGGTTCTATGCCAGGTTTGTTTCAGTTAATGTGCAGACCCTTGGCGAAGACTCAGCTGCACAAGCCAATCGTACTCCCTTTGTACGTGAACAACTCGAGTCTGTAGGCTGTTTGTTTGCTGGTCTGCAGGAAACTAGGGCCAAATCTACTGCGACTGTCACCTCCCAGAGCCACTACAGGTTTCTGTCAGCCAGTGATGCTCAGGGTAACCTAGGCGTTGAATTATGGGCCTCCAGAACAGTTCCCCTTGGATGGACTGCCAATAGGCCGGTCTACTGCGACCTTTCAGATTTCTGTGTGCTTCACTGGTCTCCGCGGTGCTTGATTACCAGATTTGCCAAGGGCACTTTCAGACTGCTTCTAGTAGTTTGTCATGCTCCAACAGCTGAACATGCACAGAGAGACACGTGGTGGCGGGAGTTTGTCGACCGAGTGATACAGTGCGCAGGGCACGACAAAGTTGTAGTTCTTGGCGACCTCAACTCGCGCCTTGTTCATCCTGTCCCACACCGTGTTGGAGATTTACTGTGGGAGCAGTCGCATGAACCACCCCCGCCTTTCTTTCGTTTGTTAGCAGCGCTTGATCTTTGGGTACCTGCCTCTTATACGGCCTGTCACCAAGGTCTGAGCCACACTTGGGTTTCTCCGAGTGGAGCGTCTGTCTCCCGAATCGACTACATCTTGATTCCTACTGCCTGGCACGTCGCCCCGGCAGGATCGCAGGTTCTTTATTCTGTAGATTTCGGGCAGTCCGGTCTCGACCATTATGCTGTCAGACTTGATGTTGATGTCATGCACACAACTGGTGGACTCGCACACCGTGTCATTGGCACGTTTGACAAGGCCCGGCTTCTCCAGGATGAATCACAGCCTGAGCTTCATCGGATCTGCTCTACTGTACCTGAAATTCCGTGGGAGGTCGACCCACATACCCACTATCAAAGAGTTGCTGAATACCTTCACGAGCAGCTCGCCCTTGCCTTCCCCAAACAACGCACAGTTCGGCGGCGCACCTTCTTTTCTGACACCACATGGACCATGCGTCAACAGCGAGTTTGGTGGCGACGGCAAGCCCACAAGCTCAGCCTTGCAGTTAAGAAGGGCCCTCTTGCCTGGGCCGTTCAGGCCTGGCATGCCGGATGTTCTTGGCGTTCTGCCGCACTTGCCAACCTTGCCGGCCTTCTTTCAGACATTGCTGGCTTGCGCAATGCAGTTAAGGAGCTTAGGTCTCTTAAACCTGCCTTCTGTGCCTCCCTTTTTGCTGACCGTAAAGCGCACCTTTCAGCTGTTGCGGACCTTGCACGGCAATCTGCTGTCAAGGACGTTGTCGCCAAAATGCGCCCACTTATCGGACCACCTAAACGGCGACAAAGGGGCGCTTTGCCTTTACCTGCTGTTCGCCTTGAGAATGGTGACCTTGCCTCAACACCCACAGAGGTTGAGGAGCGCTGGGTCCGTCATTTTAGTGCGGTCGAGTTTGGCGAGCCTCAGCATCCAGATGACCTTATTGCAAACTGTCTGCGTCGGCAGGCCCAAACCGATCTCGCCGACATAGAAATTGACCTTGCCGAGCTGCCTTCAAGACTTGAGCTAGAAGCAGCCATGCGGGCAGCGCGTACTGGAAGAGCTGAGGGCAACGATGCTCTGCCAGCTGAGATTTGGAAACTCCAAGCCTCAGTCCTATCGCAGGTCCTTTACCCAGTTATGTTGAAGACCGCTTTTCGCCTCACCGAACCCCTGCAATTCAAAGGAGGGTCTATGCATAAGATATGGAAAGGCCGTGGTCCGATGCAAGACTGTGAAAGCTACAGAGGCATCCTTGTCTCTAGCGCAGCCGGCAAGTGTATTCACGGTGCCTTCCGCAAAAAATGCGCTGAATGGTACGAGGCACTTTCCACCCCAATGCAACTCGGAGGTAGGCGGGGCTTTCCGGTCCAATTAGCTTCGCAGGCAGCCCGCGCCTTTCAGGCTGCTGCTCTGCGCAAAAAGCTCAATGTCGCCTTGATCTTTTTAGATCTCCGTGAGGCATTCCATCGGGTCGCGAGACCCCTTGTACACGGTGGAGAACTTGATGACGAACATATCGCCCACATGCTTGCCTCGTTTGGCATTCCTGCAAGTGGCATGGAAGAACTCAGAACATATGTTCGTGATCGGGCTTTAGTCAGGGATGCAGGTGCGTCACCTTGGGCTGCTGCCCTCCTCGGCGAATTTCAGTCTGATACCTGGTTCAATATTAAAGGACATCTTGCGATAGTCCAAGCAGGTACCCGCCCGGGTGATTCATTAGCTGACGTCGTGTTTTCCTTCCTTTTCGCTGCTGTGTTGCGCCGCCTTCGGCAAGCGTTGCTCAATGCAGGTATTTCCGTTATGCTTCCATGGCATGCCACATGGGAAGGTCAACTCCAGCCACAACCAGCTCAGCCAGACGACAGCGTTGCACCCATTGACGTGTCATGGATGGACGATCTTGCTCTTCTGTTGTGGGCAAACACAACAGACAGCCTCATCGCAGATGTCACCACTGCGTCTGAGCTCCTCCTTGATGAATGCCTTCGCGCCTTACTTCACCCCAATCTCGCGCCAGGTAAGACTGAAACGCTCCTCTCGCTTTTTGGTCCAGGCTCTCGCAAGACACGAGCCCAGCTTTTCAAGGACAAGGACCCCGGGTTGCCGCTTTTGCCACAATTACATCCACCGGCACGTATGCGCCTCGTCCCTCGGTATAAGCATCTCGGGGGTGTCCTACACTGGAAGGGCACTCTTTCCATCGAGCTTCGGGTACGTGTTGCCCAAGCATGGCAGGCGTTTAGGAAGCATCGACGGGCAGTCTTTATTTCTCCGGTAGCCACGCACCGAGAAAAAGCCTTGTTGTTTCAGTCCCTTGTTGCCTCCACCCTCTTCTATGGTGCCGGCACATGGATTTACCGGTCAGCCTCTGAACTTGACATGTTACATGGTGCACAATTGTCAATGGCAAGGCAGATGTTGCGACCGACATACCGCCTCGAGGATGCCTTCCACCTGAGTGCCGGCCGTGTCCTGGCTACAGCTCGCCTTCCATCCGTGACTGTTGAGCTACATGCAGCTAGATTGCGCCACCTTGCTCTTGTCTTTCGCAAAGCGCCTACCGAATTTTGGGCCATTTTGCACTTTGACGGATGCTGGAACCAGCTCGCTCTCGATTCTATTCAATGGATTCGGGAAGTGTTTGCCAAGACTGGCCCTGAGCACCCAGACCTTCAGAACTGGTCAACAGTTTCAGAACTCATCCAAGCACGTCCCCAAACTTGGAAGAGAATCATTTCCCGCGCTGTCTCCATCTCCATGCTATGCGAGCTGTGGGAGTCTGAGGTTGCCCAATACAGGGGTCTGCTGCTTCGGTTTTTGCTTCAGAAAGGAGCTCTTCTTTCATCCGGGGCACACGAGGTTGCTGGTAAGCCTGAAATTTGTGCCCCATGCCAGCAGGTGTTTCCGAACCTGCGCTGCTGGAGCCATCATGCTTTCAAATGCCACGGTAGAGTGCGTGAAGAGCGATTTTACGCCGCCGGCACACAATGCCGAGTCTGCCTGCGCCACTTTGCTACCAATTTTAGGCTCTGCAACCATTTGCGTCATTCCAAGACTTGCCTTGCCACCCTGGTTTCCACTGGGAAAGTTGGGCCGGTTCAGCCGGGCAAGGGAAGCAAACGTTTCCAAGCTGGGGAGGACTCTATCTGCCCCGTCGTCACAGCTGCAGGTCCACGCCAACAGGCCCAAGCCAGCGATTATGTCCCTGAAAGCCTTCGGGCTGACGAAGGGATTTTAGAGGCACTTGAAGATGTCTATGCACACCCAATGCCCTTCCAAGAACTTTCTGCTCTTGTAGAAGTTGTTAAGGGATGCTTCGGACGTTCTTGTCTTCAAATCTCTAGGCTCAAGGCCACGGCAGCTACCTGGCGTAGCAACCTAAAAGCAGAGCTTGATCGGTGCGATGATGTTCCACTTCAATGGGCTGCTTGGCATACACACCTCGCTGACAAGTTGTGCGAGGTTGATTTTGCCTCATGGCTTGTCCCAGAGCCTGCAGGCGCCAATTCGCAGGTCTCGACTTTCCGTGATGCTTCAACAGTGTTACCTGGCCTTGTACTCGATTTAGTGCAGTTGCCTCCGTGCGACCCAGGTGACTTTCCTCACACATGGGTGTGTGCCGCTGCCCCACCCTTTGGATTTTCTGGAACGGGTGGGACGGAGACCTTTGTGTCCCATGCTACTTGTCTTGCTGATCCGGGCCTGCTTGACTTTGACTCCTGGAGTCGGACTTCGACTTCGGTAAGAGGCTTTTGTCTGGTTGGCCTGTTGCTCGACTTGTGCTGCCCCACACCCATGCGTTCCTACCGGCAACTTCAGCCGCACCTTCGCAAGTTCCGGCTTTTTGCTGACATTGTCCGGGGAACTGTGCTGCTTTGGACTTCCGGCTGCCCTGCCTTCCTGGTTGTCCCTCCATTCGCATGCCCCGGCATCGAAGCTGTGCGACGTCTTGCCATCTACAGCTGCAAAGGAAGCAAGGGCGATATTCTCGCCAACTTCCATGGAGCAGCGCGACTCACCAACTGTTTCACCCTTTAATTAGATGCTGGTAGGCTGCATCCGACTCGGATCCCGTGCCTTGAAAGTGAAAAGTGACAGATGCAATAACTGGCAATAACCACTTACTAAGTCGCCCGATCCTCCAAGTACTGCCCCGACCACGACGAGGACTGCAAACAGTCACATTGGAGTCATACTGTTGCAAATGCCAAGACACCACAGAAGCCTCAGCCACCCCAGCAAGTTTTCTCCCTAAGTCTAAGCCCTACACCCAAACCCGGAAGTCCTAAACCTTTGGAAGGAATAACCCTAAACCCTACAGAAAACACCCTAAACCCTCAAGCCCTAAACCTTTGGACGGCCAAGGCCGCGGCACTCCGAAGAACTTATTATCAAAAAGGTCCACACCTGCGGCACTGGGGATCCAGAACTCTGGGGCAGAATCGGTTCAGGGTTTTTAGGGGCTTCAGGGTTTAGGGGTTTTAGGGGCTTTAGGGTTTACAGGTTTTTCGGCGTTTAAGGTTTAGGATTCAGGGTTTTAGGGCTCCGGGGCTTAGGGTTGAGGGCTGCTCTGGGGCTTCCAGAGAGCCCAAGATCCCTTGGTTAAGGAATGTAGACTCAGTGATTTACGCCATATTCCTTCATTCCCTTCTAGAACCCCTATAGATCCTTTTGAGAAGCCCTTTAAGCCCCTAATGGTTTTAAGGCATCTTCCTTACTTAAGGGGTCTTGGGCTCTCCGGCACTTCATGTCTAGGGCTCCTAGGGTCTAAGGGGGGATTTTGCACTTTGCAGCCTTATCGCCTTTGGACTCCTAAGGCTCATTTTGTTTGGGAGGATTGCGGCTTTGAGGGTTTAGGAGTTTCTAAACCCAAGAGTAACCTAGGAATAAAAAGGGTGCCCTTTTTGGTTTAAAGGGGCTTCTAAGGGAACCTGAACCCTAAAAAAAAGGAATAAGGGCCTACTCTAGGTCCTAGGGGTTTGGGGTTTAGGAGGATTTAGGGTTGGAGGGTTGCGTTGAGCTGACTGCACTAGAAACGGCGTCGGTAGGAACATTTAGGAGTTTACGGTTTAGGGGGGCAATATTTCAACTTTGAGGGTTCGGTCTCTTTGGAGTTTCGGACCCCCAAAGGGACATCTTACAGGAACCCTCCTATAACCCATGAAAACCCCCAACCCCTAGCAACCTAAGTGTCGAACCCTGAACCAAAACCTTAAAACCCTCAAAGTCCAAACTCTAACCCTAACTCCAAAACCCAAACCCCAAAACCCTTCAAGCCCCAAACCAATGGGAAGCCATCCACATTTTCTTTGCATGCAAGTAGCCGTCTTGATCATTAGAATATAGTTCCTTTGAGTGTTTCTTTACCCTCCAGGGTTCTGTTAAGGGTTCCTTTGCCGTCCCTGTAAAAGAAGCAAAACAAGGGGCCGTGATAACTATTTGTGGCATTGCATGGCTCAGCCATGCAGGGACCCCAGCATAAATGATTAGAACATGTTCCGACCCCCATTCAAGTGCAGCGGAACAAACCGACTCACTCGTGCCTTCACGAAGGCTTAGGTATCTATACTTCAAGCCTCTAACCTTATGTAGCTTTCGTGATGTTTGGTTTGAGGTTTTAAGGATTTAGGGTAGACCCCGGAAAGTTCGCGCCTTCGATAAACTGCCCGTGCTTGATGCTGGTCCTTGGCAGAGAGGGCATTTGCCTTTAGTGTTCTGGGGCTACATCGAAAAACCTGTTACATAGAACATCATGGAACATGTAGCTGCAAGTGACTGCTATTAGGAATCCAACTCCAAGGCAAATCCCATAACTATGATCCTGCGTCTATAGACCCCTTGTACATCACTGTAGACCTGTTACAAGTGCCTATAGACCTGTCATAAGTCCACATAGCCCAAGCAAAGACATTTGAGGTCAACTCTTACTCGTCCCACAAAGGTCCCATCGCACCGACCCTACAGTAATTAAACCTTGACCCCAAGCCCCTACAGGCCTAAACCCTAAAATCCCTACAACCCAAACCCTCAATCCTATGTGCTAAACCCTACCCCAAGCCCGTAAAGGCCTAAACCCTAAACTCCTTAAAACCCCAAGCCCCCAATCCTCTGTGCTAAACCCATGGTCTCCGAACACTCTGAGACCCGGTCTTCGTGATCAGCCAGGGCCGGAAGCAGTTGGACTGACGCAGAGGGTGCAGGTTTCAGGATGGCTTTCGAGTTTAGGGTTAAGGGGTTTAGGGTTGCTGATAGGGTTTCGGGTTGATAGGGTTTCCATGGGGTTTAAAGAAGGATTTACAGATGCTGCTAGAGGGCTTTACAGGGTGTTGATGAGTTTTGTAAGCTTCATAGATTCGCTAAGAGGCACCGGATTTAGAGGGTGTGTCGTAAATCTTGGGCTTTGGGCATTTCAAATTTCTTTATAGAGTTCCGAGAAGCATTCTACGAGGGTTCTGAGCTTAAGGTAAGCGGATATTGGGTGTTTCAGCATTTGGGGGTACCTTAGTTTGGGGTCCTTGATCCTACTATTTAGGGTGCTATGTCAGGGTTTCCTATGTTCGGAAACTCCCATTTGGGCAGGTCCTAGAATGCGGTGGCGGAGAAAGGGTTTGCAGCATAGCTGTGGGGCTTTACAGTTGGTTGCATGGAAAGCTTGCTACTGTAGGAACCTGATTAAGAAACCCTGGGCCTACAACCCCGAAATAATAGGATTCAGATAACGAAGCCTAAATAAGGCCCGAGGTTTCTTAATCAGGTTCCTACATTACAATTTGAACCTTTTGCGGATTGCAAGAACTTGCCAGAGAGCCCAATACCCCTCAATTCAGGAAGAGGGCTTGATATTGTGATTTATGCTATATTCCTTAATTAAGGGGTATTGGGCTCTCTGGGTTATGAGGAGTCTTCTTGAAGCTCCAGGGTTCTCGGATACAGGGTCTCTAAAGATTGTCTCGAGGCCTTGTGTTACGGCTACTTGGAGCTTCATGGGTAGTCAGAAGTGGGGTTATAAGCCTCTTCACATAGGTTATAAGTACGCTTATCCGGCTGCTTACCCTAAACCCTAAACCCTAAACCCTGCTTGTAACAGTGCAAGAAACCCCAAACCCAAACCCCCAAAGACGTTTGGGTTTCCAAGGCTTTGTCGCTTTGCGAAGTTCGCGCCTGAAAGCTGAGGTGCTTACAGGGATGTTCAGGGTTTATAGGGAACTCCAGAAAGTTGGAATATGGTTTCATGGTAGGATCCCCTATAATTTACCTTAAGGGGGTTACGATAATGATATTCCAACTTTCTGGCTTCTACGATAGGGGTGAGAGTTCTACGAGTTCACTTGATTGTATTCGGCCATGAAGAGTTCCTTAAGATGTGAAGGTGTTCTAGGGCTTGAAGAGTTTGGCATTCGAGGTTAAGGGCTATCGGAGTTTAGAGATGAAGAAGCATGTGGGGTTTAGGCTTTGTTATTTTAAGCTTGGGTCAAGGTTCGCAGTTAGGGCCAGTTAGGGGGTATCGGTGCCCTGTGCCGACTCACTGGTGCGTTTGTGGCCATTTTAATTTCCATGAGGATTCCTACTGAAGCCTGCATGAGACCCTACTACTGCTGCAGGAGCACTTCCCTCCCCACACCGCCACAAAAATCAGATGGTGGTTGCACCCCCCAATCCTAAGTTAAGCCCAGGTGAGCTAGCACAAAATCAGGCAAGTATGTTTTGCCTAAGTTCAAGATCGTAACACCACAGCCATGTTTGGGGTGATGCGGGCGAAAGCTTGTGCGAGTTAACAGCTTTAAAACATTCGATCAAGGCCAAAGCACAGCTAGGCTTCACAAGCTTCCGGCTGCAACACTTCTGCGGGGCAGTCCAAACGCTCTTCTGCCACCAATGCACGTGGAAACTGGCCAGTCCCAGCCGCCCGAGCACCAACCATAAGTAGTGTGCAACGTTTTGGTGTGGAGCTGGTATGATTTGAGAGGGGCTCTATACTCATTGCCATCGCCGCTCGCGGTCACTCCTGGCGAGCATCAGTATTGCTTTCCTCCAAAACGCCCGCAGTTTGGTGGTTCCCCAGATGGCTGAAGCTCAGAACCCAGAACCGGAACAGCCCAGGTCTTTGACCTGAGTCCTGAGCCCAATGTGAAGCGACATGAGGGTTTTGGAAATATTACAGTATGCCGACATATCGGCTGTAAGGGCATACAATTGAGGTTACTATCCGAGCAGACCTCAAAGCTAGTGCAAGCTCCTTTCTGTACAAAGCCGGATACGGCTATAAACCTAAACCCCAAACACTCGACCCTCTTCCAGCAGGATACGGGTTGTTCTCCGAATTAGGATCCCTTTTGAAATCTAAGTTCCCCAAATGCTACGGCACCTCTAAACAGGGTCCCAAAAAAGACCCCAATTTAGAGAACTACCCATAGAGTTACCATTGCTGCAACATCCAGAAATTCGAACCCTTAAGCCTTAACCCTTCTTCTACTGAGACCCCCAACTCTGAAACCCGAAGCCCTGAACCCCAAAACTTCAACCTCAAGCCCTACAGACCAAACCTCTAAATCATAGTAACCGTCGTAGGTTGTAGTGGAATACGCCTTATGGCAAACCAAAACCAAACCCTAAACCCTGGCTCTGTTTAGGTAGGGCCCTAAACCCTAAACCGAAACCCTTCACCCTAAACCGGCCTGCATCCAGCAGTTGGGATCCTCATCGTAATAAATGTCGTGGTCCCATCGCATGTAGGGCACTTCCGTCACTAAGTCAGCGCCTTGTCAGTTACTTAAGGGTCCCTTTAAGGGTTCCTTTAAAGGGCTCCTTTAATGGATCTATAGGGGTTCTTTTAAGGGCTGCTTTAAGGGATGTATCGGGATTCCTTGAAAGGGCTCTAGGGTTTCGGCTTTAGGGCCACATATTTTTGGTCACAGGCTTCTCTTTTATCAAGGGTTCGTTGAAAGGTTCCTTTGAAACGGGTTTCTTTACAAACGGGTTACGGTAAAGGGGACTGTAGGGGTTTCCTGAAGACAAAGGCTTCTTTAGAGGGTTCTATA